TATTCAGAGATTCTGGAAGCTTTAATGAGGTCGAAGGAGGAGATTACTTTTTAAGGATTTTAGGAAAAGAAATACATAAAAACACACGCACAATATTTGTATATGTCTTACAAGCCTGGGGGGGCTATTTAAAATATCCATTTAAACATAACATTCCCATACAGTACACAGCTGCGTTCCTCTATGCATGTGCTCCTATCGGGTCTCTGATAGGTCGCTGCTAACTGGCTAACGGTACTCTTCAGCTACTAGCCAAGTCACAACTGTCAAATGTTGATCAAAATATCGCCATTAGTCAACCGAACAACATTTTCTAACGATACCACATCGCTGACTTGCTACAGTGGCTAATGTTAGCAGTGACCTTTAGTTAGACAAGCTTTAGCGGTTATACGCTAGCTGATGCAGCTAACTAATCACAAGCAGGCACAGGAGGTCTTCCGGACAGGGAATTGTCATCTACAAGGCCTCGGTCAGTGACTCTCAGTCGCAGCATCCAACCCATATTAGCTCTGTCTAAGTATGTCATCGAATTCAAGACGCGAATGTTAACATTTCAACGCGTTTTCACCCTGACAAATACATACTACTGGAGACTAGACTTTTTCCATCGCTGTGTTGGTGTTTACAAAGAGGAGTGGTAAACTAGGCTACATATTCAAACACCTAAGCTAACAGTTCAAGCTGTGTACTGTCGAAAAAAACACAGAGCCATGCTAGCTGTACTCACTGACAGGGGCAAACGGAGTCCAGTGGAACGGGTAATATCCTCAGTGGGCTCAAGTGTCGAGAGGAAGTAAAGCGGAGCAGCGGGACGGTGGATGTTGGCATTGTAATGGGAACCACAAGGATACCGTCCCTCCACTCGCCAGCACAGAGCTGTGCCATAAAATACAGCTGGAGACCGGATGTGTCAGGCTAACCACAACACAGTCAGAGCTTCAAAATAAAATGCATGTTTATGTGTAAACAGTGGATCATTTAGAATATTTAAGTAAAGATGACAAAAATAATTAGCACCCATCAAAGATGTAGGCACATATTATATTTTTGAAAATAATTATAAATACATGTAATAGCCACAACTCAAAGCTTCAAAATAAAATGCATGGTAATGTGAACACACAGTGAATCATTTAAAATAATAATAGTCATAATTAGACATAAATATAATATGTAGACGAATTACATCATTAGGATATGATCCAGCTACAACACTCAATTACCAAAAAAAGCAGGTTTTGTTTTATTGCAAGCAGTGCAGTAATAATTAAGTGTTTAATATATGCTATATGATACGAGTGTGCAATGTATGTAGGAAAAACAAAACTCCTAACCAGCGTGTTAAATGGAAAGCAGAGCAACATTTAGGTCCAACCACCAACTGATAGAAAGCTGCATAATAATATTGAGTTTGGGTTTATTTAACCATACTGAATAGTGGGGGATTGCTTGATTAAAGGCATACATTTTCAATACTTAATTGTTAGACAATATTCTTTGATAATGACTTCTTTTGCACTGTTTCAGTGGAATTTCCCTTTTCTTCCTACCTTTTCACCTTCCATGACACATATCCCTATATTTGATACATAAATCTAATTCTGGTGTTCTCATACAGTATAGGCTACTAATGTTGTGCAGCTAAGCATTTTCATTCCAATCCTAATGAACATTATTCAGAATTCTAGCGTAAATCTTGACATTAATAAAACATGCCAAACATGGATCTTTTGAGAAAATTGGTATAACATGATGCAAAATATATTTAGAATATTTTTCATTTGATAAAATGGTATAGCCAAAGAACTACCCTAAGGTTGAGTGTAAGCATTATATAGCCGTTGGAACCAGAAGAGATTATATGTGTCATTAAGTTCTCTGTTGAAATCAAGTTTACGCAGAAATAGAGACACATTTTACAAGTTTATTTTGAAGGCCAAATGATCTTACTTCCTATCTTCTATCATGCAACTTCAGTCTGGGGACCTTTAAACAGCAGCAAATGAATGAACAGCAGACAAGAGACAGCACATGCTTCAAATAAATGGCACCTTGGAAAAAGTGACATGGATTTAAGAGTATAACTGAATTGTGAAGTAAGTTAGTATATATTTTAGCTGTAATGCGAGATCGTTTCCTTCTACGGACGAGTCTACACTGCGCAGCCAATGAGCGCAGCCTAACTCGCAGTACGTCACGTCCGCTGGCCAAAATGCAGAACTCGTATGGCAAGCCCTTTTAACATTTAAACGCTAAGTTTGACTATCCGGAATTAACATTGTAGATATCAACAACGTCTTTCTGACTAG